GAGTATTTGACTTAGATCTGCTGGCCTACTGTGAGCTATTATACAGCTAATAAAAACAAAAATTGATCGCAGAGCCGACCACGAAGACGGCGAGGTGGTAGCATATAATCGCGCCATGCTGCCTCCGTACTACGCGTTACTGCGACTGATGTGCCGGCGATCGGCGGCGTTCGCACGTTCGCTCGCCCAGCACCAGAATATCCACTGGGCCTTTCGCAATATCGCGCCGCATGCGCATCTCTATCCCGGCGCTGCTGATGAGCTGCTTAAGTAAGTAATTTGTTATTACTTAAACTACAGATGACGTACTTGTGTGACTTTGGTTTCGTTTGTAATTCGTTTTTTTAGACTCAGGGTCGTATTCCATAACTCTACTCAATGCTCAAGTCAGGACTTGTGTATGATTTCAAGCACTAGAAATGCGACCCTAATGGCAAGGACTTCTATGATTTCTAATGCCTTAAATCATACTCAAGTCCTGACTTGATCATTGAATAGAGTTCTGGAATACGATCCTCAATCGTGACATGGGCCAAGGACACTCATAATTGGAGCCATAAGCGTTTACGTTATATACACTGTACTATACAAATTGTAGCTGGCACAATGGATGATATTATGCCATGATCTTACCTAGTTCTATTACATACTAACTTACTGTTCACTCGTATGCTGTATGCAGATGACGTCCTTTTTTGTCCGGCCGAAAGTTTAAATCGGTACTGACCATTGCAGTAACATTTATCGCTGCTTTTCAAGAATAGTGACCAAAATCAAAATAGCTTTTTACTTATTACACAGTTGTAGAATGTGCTAAATTTTATCGTGAATAAGAAATTTTATCGTGAACTTTCTATTGGTTAAAATAATCACTTGGAAACAATAAGGGTACTGTGCGATTCGTCGGTTTTACGCGCCAAATACGCCTTAGTTTTATTGAAACCCTCCTTGTGATGAATTAGATATTTTTGAGATGGTCCGCTACTCTAGAAAACCTTCGATATGTATGTACCAAACATAATCATGGCGTCTGTGCTTTTTAAAGACTAGCTCGTATTCTTGCGGCGCGCGGTGGGAACGGCAACGGAAACAGCAACAGCGGCACCGGCAGCAACGCGACCGAGAATACCGACGGTAGAGAGGCTGCGGCCTTCCGTCGGAGTACGCTTTCGGCTTATTTACAAGGTCAGTATAAACTGTGCATTAAATCGAACCATCTTGCCAACTTGCGCTCAGCACTAAAATCAACTATGTCTGTCTCTTGGTTGCTTGAAATCCAAACTACTTACCCACTCGTGAATACCTTTCGCAGAAAACAATGTGAAGTATAAAGAAAGATTAAAGTAATTCCCAAACATGAACAAATGTGACGAATTCGAAAAGTGAAATTAAATTATTATAAAAAGTAGACCATAAAAATTCTATTTCATTAAAAGCACTAATCTGGCGAATAATTTCTACAAGGTTATTGTTTGCCGTTAGGTTTAAACGGCAGGACCTGTTGGACGACGCTGATATCTGCATTTTGTACGCTAGTCGAGAACGAGGACGATAGGTTGTATGTTGTATATAATGGAGGACTACAAATGACCTTTGAGGTGAGTCAAAAGGTTTTTGTTTTAATTTTCTATTTAAGATCATTGACAGAGCTAGGCATTTTCTCCAATTTTTCTTCTCTTCCCTGGACCTTTAGGAGCCCACATCTGCCATCCATTTTATTTACTCTTTGTAACGAATCCTTCTTTAAAAAACAAATTTTAACTGTTTATTATCCTCCCAAGTTAGCATATAAGAGTCCTAAGAAACCACTACAGGGTACATCTTTTTAAGGGTACCATAGCATATTATTGTTTTAATACCTTTGCCGTTTACGAGTAGAAACTACTTTTTTGATATTAGAAAACAAACTATTATAACTGTTATATTCTTACTAATTTTATTCTAAATATTTTTAGGCTTTGCACAGTCTTCACGCTGTGTACGTTGAAGGCGGTGGCGGTGGCGCAGGCGCAAGCACAGTCCGCGCGGAATTAACAGCGGCATTACGATGGGCGCGAGCTTTATTGCGGACTCTGCGAACTCGCAGAGATGCGAAGGAAGCAAGGGCGTTGCTACTCGCGTGCAAGGATTGGCCTGAGTGCGCGAGGCGGCTTTTGACGGTGTTGAATCTGCAGAGGCATACGCACACGTGTCTACACGCTTTAGGTCAGTTTACTTGGTACTTCTACAAACTAATTACTGTATTTATTTATAGACTACCCTCCTTACGGTCTGCGGCGCGTGGTCGGTTTCAGTTTACGGGGTGTGCTCATGCTCTTCGGTGGCACAGCAGTTAGTACTATGGGCGCTTGATGAGGAGGTCGATTCCCGATTTATGCCAATTTAAGAAACAAACATTTCTAAGTTGGTTTTGGTCTGAGTATTCTGGGTTATCGTTGATTTGGTAATCATAGTACCTATATAGTACAGGAAATTTTGGCAGCAGTTTGGCATTTTTTCCCCCTAAATACTTCTCTTTGGCATAGCTTCCAAGAAAATGAAATCTAACATAGAGAAGGTTGAGATACAACAATGCTATAATAAGTATCTCATTTCCACTACATCGAGAAGCATGCTTTATATTTTTACAATTGTGAGATCTTGTACTCGTAATCTATTACGTCTCCGTATATTATCTCCATTTGATGGCGTGCGGACGCTTCGGGCTTCGCCCTCCGCGGACCTCGACCTCCGGCCTCGGCACTTTATGGCTTTGTTTTAAAAAAATTGAAATAGCTCCTTAATGGCGGCCATATTTAAAAATTGCAAAAATATATTTTGATCACTAATTATTATCAAACAATCTTAGAAATCTTTTCGTGCCAAGTTTCAGTCCGAGCAAAGCAAGTTTTTTCAATAGCCATTTACATAAAAAATTACGGCTATATTGAAAAACGGCAGAAACAAAATTTTTACCCCAAATTGTAATTGAAGCCACTCCATTTTCAGTCGAATTAGAAGAAATTTTTATCTACCACCAAAAAAGTTTGTATGGCAGCCATATAGAAAAATGGCGAAAAATAAATTGTGACCGCTAATTATTATTAAACACTCATAGAGACCCCGAAATGTCCATTTTCAATCGAATTAGAGCAAGTTTTTCTTCGGCTGCCATTTTGAATTCGCCATCTTGTTTTTTTATCCCAGGCAGTTGACCACTATCAATCTCTACGACATTGCTTCGAGCACCTCCTACCTATCTCTAACAGTTTCCGTGATAGGATACTTTGAAATTTGTATAGCGGCCATCTTATTTATTTGAATTTCGAACGTTTTTTACTTCCAGCGGAAATTGACCAGGGTGTACCTCATAAAAGTGCACAAATATTCCCTCCATATATTATAGTTTTTGCAGGCCGTTGATCACTCTTTCATATTTTCTACATTTAGATCTTCTCATATTTGATACTTTGCTTTGGAATTATTGACCTACCAACAAATGGACATCGGGTCTAATACAAAATCCACGAAAAAAATGTCCGAACTTAACCTATATAAACGTAGTGACATGTAACGAAATATAAAAAACTAAAACATTTAATTTGAATTGTAACGTCATGAACGTCTGCCTAATTTTGCTTGCAACAATTCAGGGGCCCAAAAACACCATATTCAGCTTCTACTGGAAACTTAACAAAATTCACCATATTTAGCTTCGACTGAAAATTACTTGAACGCAAGAGTAATGGAGTAGCCTTTCTCCTAAATGATAATTAATTTTTATATATACTATTGTGTCGAATTTTGTACAAATTCACTTAAAGATATAACAAAGAGTTGGGCAGATACATACATACAAATGTTGCTGCAAATGTGAAAATAAGCGTGAAAATAAGAAATGTACCGATATTCCAACTAAACGTAAACTCAAATATCCGTAATTCCGAAAACCGATTTATAATAAAACCGTTATGCTTTTCGATGCTTCTCACAAAGCCAAAATTAGCTTTTGTTTTGTAATATTCGTAAAAAAATACATTTGACATTATGAAAATTCGAGCTAACGTTATTTCGGGCAAATGTATTTTCTGACTTTTGATAGGTAATCCCTAGCCGTAAAATGAGTACAACAATGTTTTGTTAGTTATATATATATATATATATATATATATATATATATATATTGCTAACGTTTAATAAAAAGTCATTTTAAAAATAAGATTAAAATCAACACGACTCTATAGTTTCTTTGTTCCAAATATTTCAATCACTTATGGTTCGAACAATTGAAAATGACCAAGAAGTTTATATAAGCTTCTTGAAATTGACGTATTGGGTCTCTTTCCATCTTTTGCGCATGCAATGTGTAGAAAAAGGACAGTTAGCGATTTAATTATTTTGTTTGCTTTTGTAATTTATATTTACGATTAATTTATATATAAATTGTGTGCGATTTTAACGCCCTATATGTGCGGACACTTTTTAGCGCGAAACCAACGTCCATTTGTTAATAGGTCAATGTTTGGAATTTATCGGCGTACAACGGTATAAATATCTTTTTTCCACCATATCGGGAAGTATGCGTTCTATTTCTATCAGTGAATAAGAACTTGTAGCTTTATATATAAAATGTCAAGATTAGGATAATTCAAATTTGTTAAAGAAAAATTATTTTTGTAAGTTTTAAACGATTAAAGACGTAAGTTAATATCACGGAGATACAGCAACCTTTGTCCAATGATTCCGGTCCGTGGTTGCCTTCATGGCCCGGTAGAAGGTGCGTCCTTGATTTGATCATTTACGTGTTACAGGAGTCCTTCGGGAGTTGGTGATGATCGGCGGCGGCGCGGCCCTGGCGGCACTGGTGCCCCTCGCGGCGGGGGCCCACTGCGCGGCGCGCGGCGCGGCGAGGCCACGGGCGCGGGCGCACCTGCACGGCTGCGCACCGAGGCACCCGCCCGGGCCGCCGCTCGCGCCTGTCTACAGGCCCTACCACAAGTTCATAGGTGACGCTAAAGTGTGATCGAACGCCTATATTATCATTTACTTAATGTTATGTATTCGTGTGTGCATTTTGATATAATAAATTTATTCTTATAATTATTTAATATGTAGCATTAAATTTCATGATTTTATTTTTGTCTACATATTACTGCCGACACCAGCTAAGTTTATTTTCAATTATTCAAAGGTTAGCTGGAAGAAATCCGTTTATGGGGGGTAAGCTCGCCTATGTAACATAACGTTTTATTTCTTTGTTAAATATTTGTTTTATTGTACAATAAAGTGTTTACATACATACTTTTTACGAATGCTAAAATAATGTTTTACGAGGGCAGAAACGACAGTCCTGCAAGCTGATTTTTTTTAATGAAAATCCGAGAAACCGAGCTGCATGATATACGAATACACTTCACATTGTAATTGGGTAATGCAATGCCTGTTTATAGACACGTGCTGCCGGGTGGCGCGCGCGCAGCGTTGCATGTCCGAACAATTGGTGCTGCTGTCGACTTTGTGTGCTTTGGAGGCCGTGCCGCTTAGGTTCAACTACTTTGCCGCCTTCTGGCGCGACGTCGCCGAGTCACCGGTATGCTATAACTGTTCAATGTTACACATTGAAGGTATCATATGTCACTATTGATTTGGATCGAAATATACTGTTGCCCGTAGAGTTCATCTAAAAATCACCAATGATGTTAGCCCTAGGGCTGTGGTTACCACTCCTAATAGGGCAACTGATATTAACAAAGAGTTACACAGCTCATAAAAATTTTAGTTGCTCTGACTAAATCCGTATGAAATCTGGGAGCACGCCAGGGCCTAAGTGGGACAAGTCAGGACGTACATCTTTACCTGGAAGTAATTCAGAGCATTTTTCAGTCCCCCTTACCTTTGTTATCATTCATTTACTATATTATTAATTACTTTGTTTTTGGCAAGACTGTATTCGGATTATATTACAATAAATGCGTCATCGTTCTAGGCTGATGCAAAGATGGAAGAAATGCTGCTGGAATGCAGTGTGGTGACGGAATATGTGGACGCAATATTGCTGGACGAACGCGAGTCGTTGGAGGATCCGGCCATCTTCCAATTCATGCAACATTATTATCCAAAGGTACGCTATTATCATACCAACACACAGATCATAAACATGATAATTCAGCGTAGCAAATTTATAATCATATTATATACAATAGTAACGTTTAGACCTACCAAGTATTTTTTATTTATTTAGCACCTTCAAGATAAATAAAAAGGCCTTTTTTTAAAGATGTATCGTTTTTTAAACTTAAATGTAAAAAGTGAACGTTATTGTCGTTTAAAAGACATAATATTGTATTTATTATTTTTGATTGACGAAATCATTGACTTACAATTATATGGACGTCGGGTCCGCGCTAAAAAGTGTCCGAACTAATAGGGCGTTAAAATCGTATACAGAGCGTCATTCACGCTTTAGTCTTCGTTTGTTTGGACTGACAGCGAAGCAAGCAAAATTAGACAGTACTGCGATGACATCACAATTTATATTCAACGTTTTAGCTTTTTCATATTCCTTTACATGTCACTACGTTTAAATAGGTTGACTTGGGACATTTTTTTCGTGGTTTTTGTATTAGACCCGTCGTCCATTTATTTGTAAGTCAATGGACGATATGATTATTTCTTCATTATACAAGCAATCGAAATCAATCAAATATCAGCACTTTGTTCCAGGTGATTTGTATACAATTGTATTCTGGGGGGTTACTCTCGATCTCCGTCCGAAACAATTACTGTCAAATAAGTAATATTCGACAAAATTAAAAGACAAGTGTCCAGTATGAAGCTTCATTCGCATCACGCGTCTTTTCATTTGGTGAAGTATTGCTTATTTGGCAGTAATTCTTTCGGACGGATGTCGGACAGAGATCGGCAGTAGACCCCCTGGTGACACTCGACACTATTCACGACGTATATAGACGTTAATGCGTCTTTAATATGTTATTGAAATGGAGAATATTGTGTTACCGTTCAACGTATTTGTCACTAGGGCATGCAAAAACCGAGTGATTTTGAAAACCGGTTTTTTCGGTTATTAAGTCTCGGTTAACCGGTTACCCGGTTTTTTCGGATATTTTTCCATTGTCACCCAAATAATAATTGTTTAAAAGCGTCAGAAAACTACAAAACATCAAGTTTGGGGGTTGATGTTGCTCGCTTTCGTAGGTTTACCCTCGAGACCCTACAACTGAACCCTAGGTGGTGCTAAAGATATAACAAATGGTGGTTAGCTGCGACCGTGCCTAGTCATCACCCCCCCGACGCAGTCGACTTGCCAAATGGTTTTCCACCTTCTCCTTTCCATCACTGGGGGACCAGGTGTAGGCTTGGGTTCCACCCCTATGTTGTGGATATTCCAAAGATTCGCTCGAAGCGTTACGCTTCTACATTTATATGGCGAACGGCTATGGAGTGGAATTGCCTGCCTGCAGACTTATTCCCCCTGAACACTATAACTTGAGCCTTTACAACGCGAGAGCCTTTAAATAGGCACTATTTAGATGTACATGCTCTACCGTCGACCTCATCGTCACTTTCAATCAGGTGAGATGGAGGTCAAATGCGCACTTATATATCATGAAAAAAGTTAGTGTTTTGTAAATTATTTTTTATAGAATTCACATGTAATGAGATCAATGACGTCTCGAATTATAATAAAAAATCAACAGCAATACGAATACCGTAAAAAATATATACATATTTTAAAGATAAGCAATTAAACATCTTCGTTTTCAGTCTGATTCTCTGTTCAAGATGTTCCAACATCTGAGGAAGAAGTCTGATAATGTTCATCATAGTTACCCAGCGGCGCATCTAGTTATTCTGGGGAATGAAAGAATGCTTGTGCCCATACCAAATGACCTAATTATGCTGGGAGACAGACGCGAAAATTTGCTTTGACGCTAAGCCTTTCCCAGCTTGTCAGTAGCGCCATCAGGATTCCAGATGTTAAGTGTCATACGACTAATTGCTCTGTCTATTGTCTTTTGAAACCTCTCCCCACCCGGTCAGAGGGCGGTATGAGACGGTTGTGGCGAAACAGGTTAGCAGATTGGGACGCAATGTGCTGACAGGCTTGCTTTAGTTCAGGGAACTCGTCGAGCTGTGCTGATGCTGTAGTCGAAGTCTTGTGTTTAGGTGTGGAGTATTACATACCATCCTCTGATGTACCCAATAGACCCCAAGCTCGTCCATGTTTTAGCGTTGATTGTAGTTGTACTGAAGTACAAAAACAGCGTATGCTCGACTGCCCAAAACTCCGAATGCTCTAAAATTGAAGAATGTAATAAGAAAGACATACAAATGAGTTTTATGCCCAGCCAAGTTCGACCATGTGCGCCGTATAGGGGCTAAGTTTGCTTTTTTTCCAGAAGGTAGTAAGTCCTTTTGGTCCCTGGCCAAAGTTGTCCCAAACTAAGGTGTCCTTCTTTACCACCACTGCTGAGGCTGGACGGCTTGCTGACCCATACTGCAGAAGAGAAGGCGAATCTTTTTGCAGAGAATAGGTGTCTGCGTCATGCCAAAAAGATCTATTCAGAACTCAGCGGAGTCTAAACGTGAATAAAGCTAGCGGACCAAATGGAATTCCAGCAATAGTCCTGCGTAAATATGTGCCTGAGTTGTCTCCTGTTCTCAGGTCGTGGAAGCATGTGCTCTGTGCCTGATGGATGATGATGATCTTCTTATGTATGCGTTGCACATGTGGAGCGAGCCGAGGAAGAGGAAGGCGTAGCACTTGCAATGTCTTGGAATATTTCTAAAGCCTTTGACAATATCTGGCATGCAAACCTTAGGCAAGCTTCACTCTTATGGGCTGCCCAATGACCTTTGCAATTGGATCTCGGATTTTTTGAGTGAGCGTTCGATTCGATCTTACTACACTACATTGAGCGATAGAGTTTCGGAGTGCGTCAGTCGTGCGTCTTTTTGCCTCATATCAACCATATGTTAATTCCAGGTACCTTCAGGTATACTGATTACAGCACAGTTATACAGGGTGACTGGTTGAACGAAATAAATATTTAAAGTGGCGAATGAGTAGCTGATACCCATCCCGAATATGTAAAAATATCGCCCCAAAACATTATAAAAAAAAATATCGTACCATTTTACAAATACTAATACTCTGTTCGTTTGAGCTACTCTACGAACAGCTGATTGTTAGGAAAATGAACCGCCCGCAGCCGCGCCGCGCCCCGCGCTACGAGCGCGTGTCAAGCCTCTCTCGCTTAAAATGTTTTAAAAATAATTCCATTTTCCCTTCATACTTTGATTTTGGCTTAGGACAGGCAAAAATACCAATTAAACTACGATAAATTATTTTTTAAAGTACACAATATTTTAGGCAGTTGTAAAACACAAACTAAGCTAGTAGGTATGAGCATGGTTTGGTATTTTTGGCGTATTTAAAAAATGGAATCATACCTGTTTACAATAATTAATTTTGATTAAATTTACAAATTTACAGCAATCTTAACAATGTACGGGTGAAGACCGTCTCTGTGTAAGAGTTTCCACACTGTCCATTGTGACACTCCGAATCGTCTTGCTGCATTTCGAGTACTCCGGCGTGGGTCATGCTCAAAGTATTCAAAAATCGCTTCTTGTAGGTCCACTGGATACGGATCCCTTCCTCGCCCTTGAGCATGCGAGGGCACAGTGAACTGCCCAAAAGTCCTCAAACGAAAATTGAGTCCTAAACATTAAAGTGTAGGATGGAACTCGCCGATTAGGGAACATTTCACGGTACAGGTCCCTAGCACCACTAACTACATCATTTGCCATAACATAACACCGTATCATGTCCCAGTACTCCTCATTTGTGTAGTGATAAGGCATCGTTATGTGTCACTGCACTCCACGGAATTACACAGTTGAATAGACCGATGTATCACGGAAAACAAAGATCGGCGCGGCGGCGGCGGCGCGTGCGTTTAATCGCAAAATCACAACGTCCTGACTTACAGAAGGGCGTAAGCGAACTAACCCGGCGGACGGCGCCGGGACGCGCGGGCGGGATTGGGGTAGCCGGCGCAAGCGGCCTTCAACGAGTAGTGGCGGGGGTGTCTAATGTACATGCGCAGAAGATTTTGTTTTGACGAACGCGGTGTCACGCGCAGAGTAATACAAAATGTTAGAGCCAGTGTTTTCTTTAAATAAAAATGTTTAATATTTTTTTTTACATAGTCGTGTTATTTTTACATATTCGGGATGGGTATCAGCTACTCATTCATCTCTTTAAATATTTATTTCGTTCAACCAGTCACCCTGTAGATAGGTACTTGATCAATGCAAAGGTAAGCGGAAAAGAAATCCAGTCTTGTCCAGAGTCTATGATTAGTCGTTTGGATTTGACACTTCGGTTGTCTCTGATTGGGGTGATGCCAAAGTTATAAAATGGAACGTTCTGAAACGCAGGCGTGTCTATTTTCCACGAAATCGAGTCCCTTTGACCTGACTCCGACTGTTTGCGATATATCCATATCGATAACCGACCATCGCCAGCTACTTGGAATGAACTAGTGCAGTCTGTTCTTCAGCAGATGCATAGAATCCATGGCCAGAAATGCAACCAGGAAGCTTGACATCCTTTTCAAGGTGAGATGTTACTTCACACCGAGACAGTTGTCACTCGTCATGTCAGTATAATAAATAACCCTTCAATCCTTTTTTCCACTATGAAGGCTATGATGCGAAGTGAAGTGCCTAATTAAAAGAAATACAGGTAAATTAAACAAGAGTTGATGTGTGCGGTTTATCTGCACATGGTAGCAGCAACACAAAAAGGAAAGCCAATTTTTATTTAGGTCACTTTTAATTATTTACATTTGTTGTTTACGTGATTGTTGTTATCGCGGTGATCAATAGATGGTCCTTACTATATTTTGAACTATTTTACTCTATAAAGCCTTATGAAATATTTTAAAGTGCTATTATTGACATGATAAGATAAAGATAAAGATAAAGATAAATTTATTTCTGTATAAAATATTAACCTAAATACATACATGAATCTTATTAAATAACCTATTATTTACATATATGCGCCAAATTGTCGCAAACAATGAAATTATTTTATGTTTACATTACTTTAATTAATTAATGATGACACTTAACCGTCAAAGAAAACTGTGTTACTATAGGATTATGATCATTAGGTATCACATTCTATAATTTATTCTCGTAGCTGGCCGGTGGCGGCGCGGCTGGCGCCCTAGACCCGTTATCAGAAGAATTGTGCAGCTCAGCGTCTAGAGCGCCGTTGAACACGCTATTGGGCCCTGTGAGAGCATTACTGATATTGTCGTCTCGAGGGCGATTGTCGCCTAATGCGGCGAGGGCCATGCAGAGGGCTGCGCTGACGTTGCAGCAACGACTGCAGCATCGGACGGGTAAGACATAATTTTATAGTCACATTACATGTTGAGGAACATAGTTATTAATCAACCATAGGAGCAAGTAAATCTTCTGAATATTTATTGACCTTATTCAGTAATAAATCATTATGTAGACAATCATAAGATTCAGTTTAGATAAATTGGTATGGACCTCTACTGAGTGTGCTACTTGGGATGTCCAAGGTAACAAAGCTCCTTTCTTATGCCTATGAATTTGATATCCAGGAGTTGCTTTATTCCTGTGCGTAATTTGTTTCTAACCAACAGAGGAGGACACGTCTGAGCCCGAAACACCAACCGAGCCAGCGACCGAAGCTGCTCGATGTCATACGCCCGAAGGCAGCTCCGCGGACGAACAACCCGACGAACTAGGTCATTCTGACCAATCGGAAGATGAAAACCGGACACTACGCCCTTCAGAATTGCGTGCGTTATTAAGCACTGCGGCGCAGGACTTGACCGCCGCTGCAGCTGCCCATACACACACGCCAGACTCATAGGACATATTTCAATATTTACTGTGGGCTATCGATCTTTGACGATTAGTGCTCATTGTGTGTGATATCATCGCGTGTGTCTTCGTGCTCGCAGGATCTGTATTGATATTTTATACTGAATAGCTTGTAACACTTTGATAGTAGAGTTCATTCACTTAGCTTTTAAATCGGGGAGTTTCATATTCAAACAAGATTTTCTGTATACTAACTAAGGGAATTTGCAGATCACAATAATATTTAACAAGAGAATAAGCCTAAATTGCGTTGACATACCAGGTGCATTGTATTAGTATTGCTCTAGAGGACCGATTTGAAGCAGAATCCATTGTCTAATTGATATTTATTCTCCACAAATAAACTTTCTCTTTTTTGTTTCTAGGAGATACCTAAAAATTTAAAAAAGGAATAATACTAATTAGATGAAGTGAAAATGGTATTTTGTAAAGCTAAGGTCAACAACAACAATATATGGAGAATGTCAGTGGTGTAATAAAAAACACTAACTCCCAAAGCAGTTTTTTGTGGAATTAAAAAATCACTCTGGGGTCTCGTATTTGTTCATTTGGAATACTAATTTCCTCGATCACGGAGGTTATCGTGTAATTACATAATAAAATAAATCACATTTGTGTCTTAAAATAATATGTCGCACATGACAACTAATAGTATTATCATAGTATCATCTCAAAACGGCTTTAAGTTATATTAATATTACCTATTTAGTTTCAAAGCGACAGTGTTGTCCTGTCACTTTGAAATTAAATCGTATGTGAATGACACGTCATTACAGCAGAAATTTTGCAGATAAATTATTAATATAACGCAATTTTGAGGTAAAATATAATATAACGCAATTTTTGAGATAATACTATGTTAGTTGTCCAGTGCGATGTGTAAAAAGTTACAATGCCAAACTGACATTTATTTTTTTAATGGAACCTCTTTATGGACCCCGCTGCGATCTCATTGTGGTTTCTGCTATAAAAGAAAGATGTTTTTTAAGTATTGAGGGTTTCTAACTATTCGGGCGAATTTTGAAAAGATTTCATTCTGTTTAGGCAGTGTTTGAACTGATTTCCATATAACTAGATTTTTTTTCTTCTAATTCCATAGAAATGGTATATGAAAATGTTGTTGGTCTTGACCTATATTAACACGTGTATATTCCTTGAAGTTAATATTGATCATATGCATAATTTCTAATTCACTCGCTGATTTAAGCTATCTAAAGCAATGGGAGCAATTTTTTTTCTGTCAAAAGAGTACTAGACGTTTTTTATTACTCTTCTTCGGTATTCAGGTAGCACCGATTGGCTACCTGTTTAGTTGGTTTCTTGACAGTGACATCAATTTCAATTTAAAAAATAAATATAAAAGAATGATCATTTCACAATTGCATTAACAATTACTTATGTCGCAAAGTCATGTCACCCCATATACCCCCTATCTTTTATTTGAACTAATTTCTTTTTTATTGAATTGTATATACAATGATTAATTCATTATTAAAACTGATGTTATTTGTATGATTGTGTAACAATATGACATTTCTCTATTACCTTGTGACATTTAACCGTCTTGAGTCGAAGTTTCAGAAGTAGCCTTCATTCATTGACTTACAATTATATGGACGTCGGGTCCGGGCTAAAAAGTGTCCGAACTTATAGGGCGTTAAAATCGTATACAGAGCGTCATTCACGCTTTAGTCTTCGTTTGTTCGACTGACAGCGAAGCAAGCAAAATTAGACAGTACTTTGATGACATTACAATTAAAATTCAACGTTTTAGCTTTTTCATATTCCTTTACATGTCACTACGTTTACGATTTCGTTGACTTGGGACATTTTTTTCGTAGTTTTTGTATTAGACCCGTCGTCCATTTATTTGTAAGTCAATGCTCTCATTACTAAAGATTCAATGATGAAAGAACAGCGATGACTGTACTTGTCTTTCTTTATCTACATCCCTCTCATGAAATGTATAAGCTGCCAAATTGAACATTCCAAAAACCACAATCATCACAATATGCTTAACAATTATAGTGTTTTAATACAACACTTGTCTAACACCGTGTCGTGAATGTATGCATTCAATATACTTGAATTTGTAAGCTTGTTTCAAGTTTTATATAATTTTGTAAAGACAATAATGGTCCCAATTTGGTGTTCTCAGTGGGTTTGTTCTAAATTTCAAATGTCAATATATCAAAACTTTACCACGTCAAATATTTTGAATCTTACATTTCAAATAGTATGATTCAAGTCAATAAAAATATTCTCACAGGACATTGGCGAAATCGCCATTTTTTGTATAATTTTTATAATAATGTTAAACTACCGTACATAGTTATTTTTACTTGACATTGGCAAAATCATTGATTATTTCGATGGAGCCATAACATTTAAAAGAAGAAGAAATAGTATGATTGTTAATAAACCAAATAATTATATTTCAGAATTTAAAAAATGAACGATTGAATTTCCGTATGATAGACTTGCAATTTTTGGAAACTTGAAACATTATTTAGATATGTCGATATTTAACCTAATCTTTATTCTCAATGATGAATAATATATCAAAAATTAATTAAAAAGCGTAAGTTAAAAAAGTCCCGTCCAAGGCTTTGTACTTTGCTTTGCGAGCGTTTTAATTAGGCCAGTAGCCATGTAAAATATTTAGTTTGTCATTTATAAGAACCTTCTACGAATCATATATTTTACATGTACCTGCTTAACAACTTATGGGAGAGTGTGCTTGCATATTTAACTGAATAAAAAGGATAGAAAAACCTGAGTACTTGCAGTACAAATCAAGTACATTCTCCAATTTTTGTTTTGATGTTAAAGAAAGCTTTGCATTTATTGGCTTCTCTTGTTGATTTTAAGGGCAAATCTTATCATATACTATACTCAGAGTTAAGGTAATATGTCATAAGTTTACTGAAAAAACTTTACTAAAAGATACCAAAGTTGACAAGCAACAGTAAGAAATTAACATCTGTAAGTGAGTTGTTTTAATAAACTAAATAATGCTCCTTGTCGACACACTGCCCAATATGCATAAGTAATTCTCGCAAGCTAGTTGGTGTTAAATATAATCGATGTATATAAAATGTATGCCCCGTTTATAGAAGAAACATGTCCATTTTATATCTTTATAGATGTGACTTCACTATTTCATGCATCACAAATTAATGAAATTATAAATAAGGGAGGTAAACGTTGCATGTCGTTCACATAGGTTCCGATTTTCATATTATGTAGGCCCTAATTTATTATTGAATAAAATTTTATCTGGTGATTACACTCGTGAATAACAGTGAAACAAAAAACTACAACCCTTCAAAAGTTTTGGAAAACTAGAATGAAAAATAATATGCTGTAATGTCTTTTTATAAATGTAGGCAACCAGTTAGTGCGTTGTGCAATGATAAAGTAGGAACCATTTTATGAATGTACTTGTCCATGTCGTTGTATATCTCGCGAAACAGAAACTTACTAAGAGAATGCGTGGCATAAAATAAAATTCGTACTGCTTTGAAAGTTACATGTGCGTAAATTTTGTTCCACGAGATATACATATTTTTTTTGTTTTTGTAGCTATGAGATATGAATTATAAATGTATGTGTCAACTTTGTATAAGAAGCAATAATGTCTATCGAAGTGCAGATTGTTTAATATTATGGTAATTTTTCAATATTTTGTATGATTCATTGTTGTATATCTGACTAACAGTCCTTGTAAGGGGTGAAGACCATGTCTGCCTTGATACTTAAGATTTAAATTCAGTTATACACCACTTGCGATAAGAACAGTCCTAAGTGTCAAGCTTGATGTGCTCTTAACTGTACAAAACCTGATTTGCAGTAGAACTGTATGGAGCAATGAAAAGGGTTGTTAACTGTTTATCATTCAATTTTCAGCTCTTTTTATGTTTTGCAAATTGTATATGAAGTTATGTAAAAGGCCTATGATGTGTTTATGAATGTTGTGGACAGTCACTAAAGGGTTCTCTAAGGTTATGTAAAGTGGTGCTATCAATCTGATTCGAGTGACTGTGTTGGAGACAAAATGTATATTTAATTTTGTCCTCATTTAGAGCTTATTAATATATACCTTAATTATAACTATGCTGTAATTTATCTTTTATTAATTTTAAGACTATATTTACATTTCCAGTGGAATGTGGAGTAACTGTAAGTGTTCTGCAAATGCTATATCAGTATATCCCATTTCGTTATGTGCTTGTAAAATAAATATAAATGTTCATGTATTATACATCCCTCTATGTTACTGGAACTGGAGTTTCAGTCAAATTTAACTGTGTTATTGAATTTTTAATTTGTGAAATTTAATTTAAAATACTGTAAATCGGACTGGAAAGCCAAAGTAAACAGTATTTTATAAACTTCAACTTTTTATTTAAACCCAAACAAGAACTTTTTAAAATGTTATAAGTGAAGACAATTTTTATTACACATTTTAATACAGATAAGTTACTCCTACTTTAGTTTTTGTAAAAGTCTGACTTTAATTTCAGCTGGAAATTGATCAATATTTTTATGTGCACAATTTAAACAATAACTTTTATGGAAGAACAGACTACACTCTTTGTTTATGCATACAGTTTTATGACATAAACTACAATCTGCACCAAGCACCAATATTTCTCCTTTTCCAGGTGGACTGAAAGGGTCTTTCATTACATAACTGGGGTATTTGAGCTCCACATTTCTTGAGAATGGAGGACTAATTCCTTTATAATGTGCCTTCTCATAAATACCACAAGCAGAGCAATGGAAGTCATAGACAATGTGCACAGGTTCATCTTTTTTAGTATCTTCCATTTTTCTGGAACAATGAGTGAACAAAATTAAATTTACAATTTATAAGGCTCATATATCTAAAAGAACCTTCCTAAAATACATACATGTAAAAAACCAACAATGTTTATTCATATTAAGTGACATTAATTTTCTCTTTTGGAGCCTCTACTGGCCACCATGATGGTTTAATAACTTCAGCTGTATAATTACTCATTTTAACAGTGCCTGCTTCAATAGCATCTTTGATTCTAAGTAAACCTATACCAAAATCTTGTACAAATCCCCTTAACACTCCTATTTTACCCTTAGAATTTCTTGCCGGTACTATAGCTTCTTCTTTATCTATATTTTCAAGAACACCAATTTGTTCTATGAATCTGAGTGGCATCAATCTTTTTCTTACTACTCCTGTGTGGTGAATCCGTGCTGTCAGCTCTTGGCCAACATAACAGCCCTTATGAAAGCTTACTCCATGTAAATAATCACAATTAACTTCTAAGGGGAAGCATGCTCCAGGGGGCAATTCATCAGGACCCTCGCCAACTCCAAGCTTATATCTCGCATATCTGTACACATCCTCATCCTTGAGTATAACATTTTTCCCAAATAACTCTGTTAAAGTTGCCGCATCTAGTGAATTTATAGTTATGAGTCTACAACCTAGCTCTTTTAGTCTGGGGTCTGCAAAGAGGTTTATGTGACTTTTAGGGTCAAATGTAATCTCTGGCAGTGGTGTGTTAACTGTTGATATGAGCGTCCAAACGTCATAACCCGCACTGGCATCATCAAACAATATATTTCGTTTAAGTTTGTACAGACTTAAATGCCTTAATAATGAATCAAATACGCTTCTTTGGCATTCTAAGAGAAATGAATTTTCATCCCATTTGTAAATCAGGCTGTCGTACAACACCCGACCTTTGTTGTTAAGAAACATAGCGTACATACACTTAGCACCATCGTTGAAATGCCCCATATCATTGGTAATAAGCCCTTGCAGGAAATCTGATGCATCTGCACCAGAAACTTTCAGCAATTTTTTACTCCGTAGTTGCACTAATGCTGTTGAGCAAAACTCATTGCGCGAGTGTTGTAATATCCCGCGCACTATACATGTTTGTGCAAAAAGTCTATTTACCTGTCTGAACATATTATTTAATTATTTATGTTTCACATGAATTAAAGTATTCACATTTCAGAATAATGTTTATTTTTAATTGATAATTAGATCGCTGAGTTTGACAGAACCAAATGTACGTTTTGAAATTTGACTTTGACGTTTACTATTTTCAGGGTCCAAGATCATACTGCCTTGTTTTCATGAGTAGTTTAACAATTGTTTTTTTTATAAATTCTCCTTTTTTATCTTCTTCGTCGTATATTAAAATTAAAGTAGTGTTTTTTTAGTAAATTTTATAACTTTTTCTTTTCGTATTCTTAGTCTTTAATAAATTTGTTTTTAAATACTTATAATAAGAAAAAAGAAAATTTTATTGCCTATTTCTATTTATACGCATTTATTTCATTGTCTTGGAATATCTGCAATCAGTCGATCAGGGTCTGAGACGATAAGTAGGAGAGATGAAGAACTTAAGGTTATTTTATTGCCTGCTTCAATTTATTCGCAATTTATTGCAATTTATTCTTTTGAAGATCTGCAATCTGTAGATCAGTCTGATTAGGAGCAGAAGAGATAATAATAATATAATAATAATAATACTCGTAATGATATAACAAGAGATAAGATTTTAAGGTTAAAAAATAGATAATCTCTCCTCAATCTGGTTAGCATATTATGTTATTCGCCGTGCTGTGTACGCAGCGCGCTGTAATAGCACATGGGAAAAGTTCATATTTTATGTAGCAAGTCGTTACGTGTGACGCTTCTTCGAAATAAATGGAAATTTTGTGATAGGTAGGTACTAAAAATACATACCATATTTATTTTCCTGGCTGTAGACTACAGTTGTATCCCGTAGATCCTTTAACTTTTTTTGTGGCGGGTTTTACGTGTATAGTTTTTACAAAGATTATTTTTATTTTAAGTATATTATGAAGAAAAAACGAAGAAAGAAATAATGATGAAGAAAGTTAGGACTATATTCCTTATTTTAAACCAAATTTACAAAAGACTTTATCCTGATAATTCCACTAATTATGAATTCAAAGTTATTGTTCAAAGTGATAGAAGATAATATGATTTAAGTGAAAATAAAACATAAATATTGACTCCCGCCGCTTAAAAGACTGTTTAATACATCATGAAAACGCTCGAGACACGCTTCGGACGACCCGACTCGATTGCCCTTGCCGAATTAGAACGACTCCGAACACTACCACGCCTCACCGATTCACCGCGCGACATATGCGCCTTCGCCTGCCATGCAGCCAACGCAACAGCTACACTCAAGGTGCTCAACCGCGCCCAATGCCTCTTCAGCCCCGAGACAACGAAGACGATGCTAGAGAAACTCACACCGTCACTACGCTACAGATGGTTCGACTACCTCACCACACAACGCGACGGCACACCAGAACTGATGATGCTAGCGATCTTCCTCCAGCGCGAAACAGACTACTGCGCTTCCTACGCCCCCCTGGAGAACGTCGACATTCTGCCGCCGCTCAACGTGAAGAAGACACAAAGGGCCTTCACAGCAACATAGAAGCCAGTCAACAAATGCGCCTGCTGCGGAGCCGTCGAACACAACATCAACAAATGTCAGAAGTTCATAGACAGCAACGTCAACACCAGATGGAACACAGCCAAGAACCTGCGGCTATGTTTCCGCTGTCTACGTTACCGAAGCAAGACACATTTCTGCAAACGCGTCAACTGCGGACAAGACGGCTGCGAGTATTCTCACCACAAACTACTTCACCACAAGAAGTCTGAAGAGGCGACTACTGAAACAGTCTCATCAACATGGGCACCCAGACAGTCACGAGCCTACTTGAAGATCCTACCCTTCGACATATTGGGACCGGCGGGAGTAGTACATACTTACGCACTACTTGACGACGGCTCGACGGTGATACTCATTCGGGAGGACGTGGCCCAGGAGGCGGGCCTGGAAGGCCCCATAGAACTTTTACAAATAGAAGCTATCACGCACGAGAACTTCGACGCATCCAAGTCTCGCCGGGTAGCACTCAACATACGCGGCGCGAATCGACAGTACACCATTCGCATCCGTACCATAGAGGAACTTTGCTTGTCACCACAGACGATAAGAAAAGATGATCTCCGAGCCTGCGAGCATCTCCGTGGCATAGAAGAACAATTAAAGTACAAATCAGCGCAACAGACGGTGCTAATCGGTCAAGACAACTGGCACCTACTCACTCCTAATAACTCATGGACCTCCGCCTGAGCAGAGTCTTACAACACATGGACCTATTCCGTCCCCGCCGAGCTAAGGCACGCTACAAACGCACGCTGATGAACAAACAGAACGATCCAGTGTGGTCAAAAAGCCGAAGACACGACGCGCCGAAACCGCGAGCGAGAACACTAGAATGTGTGCTAGCCTGCATGAAGCCGTCTACGAAGTGCTACCCGACTTACGAAATAACAAGCCTCCGTCTACGCACAGTCGACTGCGCTCCCTGGCGGTCGAACTTGTCAACGGAATTATAATACTAAAGACACGAATCAACGCCGCAGCGGATATCACCGACTCACAGAATCGAGCTGCAGTACTAGACGGGAATAACTAGCTGTAAAGTTGTACATAGATTACGTACACAGACAACTTAATCACAGTGGAGTCGAAGCGACAGTAAACGAGTGCAAGCAACATTACTGCATTTTACGATTACGCCCTGTCACGAAAATGACAATACACTGATGTCTTCAGTGCCGCATCAAAGAGCTACGCCAACAGTCCCAACGACCGGAGACCACCCACGCTGTCGACTGGCGCATCATCAGCGCCCGTACACCTACACGGGTCTGGAGTACTGCGGCCCACTGACCGCCACCGTTGGCCGAACAACACAGAAAAGATACAACAGCGTACTGTAGTCTAGGCTCTACTCTAAGTAGAATTACTGGCTGAGTGAATATAGTTTTGTATTTAGAATTTGTTTTGAAATAGGAGATTAGAAAGAATAGAACGTCTTGATAGTTCGAGATGTAACCTCAATAAGAAAATATGTAAAAAATACAATAAATACCAAGTTGTGAAGATTATCCCAGTTCATATTTATAAAAATACCTCTCGTTACGCAACATGAGCTACGTCCAAGCTTACAGTACCAAATATTAATAAGATAAATAGAATTTTATTCTATTTAGATAATATCATAACAAACATCTAATCTTACATTTTAAATATTTTTATTTTATCTACTGTAAAATCCTTCAACGAACACGCTGTCCTTACGGACCAAATTTAATAATAATATTATAAATATAGTTATTATTTTATATGAAAAAAAAAACGTCAAATTGGTAGAATTGTTAACTTTATTAAAACTTAATAAGTAGGTATAAACTTAATAAGTATCTAGTTTTAATATTAAAATTAATGTGTAACGTCAATAAAAACCTATAATAATAAAATTGTGTATTTTTATTACAAATTGTTCAGAAATGCAATATACGTTGACTTATATGTTTTCTTTATCATGATAACAATGATTGTAATGTTGTGAGCTAAAAAGGGAATTTTTAATTTCATAGACATCTACGTGAGTCCAATTTTAGGCTACTGCCACAGCGGGCGCTAGCGAGAGGTATACAATTCTATATTGAAAAAATTCGAAAACTTTCGTCGTTCGCACAGGATTTTGTCGAAAAGTGATAATATGTACCTATACTGTAGGGTGTAAGTCGTGCTCACTTAAGCAACATGTACCTAAATACAACATAGTTCATTTTCCATTCTAGCCACACGAGTCTTCAGCTTTCAGCGATGTTCGTCCAGTTCTCTCGGGCTATAAGTCATTTCAATAGCCTCTTCTCTATCTTTTTTATTCGGCGAAGTTTCCAATTTTATAGGTGAAACGTACAATGAGGTGGGTTCAGACTTTGGCTCGTGTTCGATAGAAGCAGTCACCAACTCAGTGGTAATCGTGGGCTCAGACTTCACCGAGGCTACGTCTCTCTTGTTGGGTGAACTGTTTGTGGACCGTTGCGAGTGTCGAGGTGATTTTCGAAGATGGGGTATGATTTTCTGTTTGTAAATTTATTGTTATTACAAGATGTTAACTTACTTTCATTTCATGGTACTGAAAGCTTAAGTGAGTGATTGCATAAGTAATATACATATAAGTAAATCTGTTTGCAAACCTGTTTTGGATCCACAAGGAATACTCCAGTTTTCCTGACAGCAAAATCGGGCGCAGCGAGACAGCGTGCCAGCAGCACCGCCGCAGCCACGGCCCACAGCGCCCAGACTCCGGCCGAGGCGGCCCTCGTGGCCGATATGCGTCCTCCCATTCCCCACGTTGTGTTCCACGCGTCTTCAATCAGTTGATCGACTGATGAGCAACTGGTGACATTGAATGTTGTAGTATTTATTAACTAGGTCCAGTCACAGCTGAGCTAAACGAGCTGTCGCTTGAATTATTTGATTTAAAAAATCGTAGGTATTTGAGATATCTCTCAAAGGGCAGTCCCTTCGAGACTATGGTCGTTGCAACATATCCGAAACGTCGAGGTAAAATATATGTTTATACACGATTAAGTCCCGATTTTTAAAATCGAATAATGTGTAAAAATCGTGAAGGTTTAAATCAGTGTACTGTCGCTTGAAGTTATTGAGTAGGTACATAACCAAAGTACTCAATGCTAGAAGCTAAGAAAAGGAGGTAAGGTACAATTTAACAAAGAATTTTGACAGATTGTTTATTTTAGGTATCTCCCACCTACCATATTAACAAAATACTAAAAGTACACACATGGATTTGCTAAAAATAAGTAATCAGCATACCTACCTACTGCAAGCATTTTGACACTGGCATACTCAAATGTAGTAAAAAATATTTATTCGTTTTACGATCTTAATTTGTACCTACGTTGTTGCATTAGTGTTGTTATAGAAGGCTGTACAAAAGGCTTGCAGGCCCCCGTTGGTCTTGACGAAGCTATGACCGGTCAGACCAACCATCACGACAGAAAACACCAGTGCTGGAACCAGAATTCGCCAAGGCTGCTGCAATCTAAAAAAATGTGAATAATTCTTATAGGTACACGTCATACGTAATTAGCATAATTAGTAACTTATTTTTTTCTACTTTACGACTGTTGTAATGCTTTTCTTTGTAGGTACAAATACACAGACGACACAGGTACATTAAAAATACATTACAAGAGTCATATCATACGATACGGAGGATAAGACGAAGGGTTGTGACCCTTTTTGTAACAAATAGAAGCGTTAGCGTACACATGTCTTTGCAAAAATTCCAATGGTGGATAAGGTTGTTAAAGTAGGTAGGTTAGTTAATATAGTTGACCTAATAGCCAAATGTCCTCATAAAAATATACTTTATACATTTTAAGTAATGCCAGTAATGCTTACCCGCTTCTACTACGGCCGCCTCCAGGGCATACGATGAAGAGCGTAGCCCATACAAAAGCGAACACCGTGGCCAGTAGAGGCATGTACTCAGCAAATTGGCATTCGCTATCCTTAGCAAATAAAGTGCGAGTTGTGTCTAACACTCGTCTATGGGTTGTATTTCCTGTGAAATGGAATGAAATAATTGAGGATGCATGTTTTTTCATTGCATATCTATTGGTCGCAGTAACAATTTGGACGCGTGCAATTATATTCGGCATGCAATGATCTTATATTAGGTTGGGGAAAAAGTCTTTTCGTATTTTATATAGAAATTCAATACATTTTATAAAATTATTTATTTACATTTAGTTATAATATATATGTGCCATTTTGTTCGACAACTTGTCGCCATTTTGTAGGTAGTGACATTATCCCATTGCTGTAGAAATTTTGGGGTTTCTGGTCAAAAAACTGGGACAAGTAGTTTTGACAGTCCTCTCGTGATGTTAACTTAGTACTACCCAAAGAATTCTGAAGAGACCGAAACAGGTGGAAATCTGAGGGTGCAAGGTCAGGACTATATGGCGGATGCATTAACACTTCCCAACCAAGCTCTCTCAATTTTTGCTGAGTGGCTAAAGATGTGTGTGGTTTGGCGTTATCGTGATGAAAAACCACACCCTTTCTGTTGATCAATTCCGGCCGTTTTTTCTGTATTTCTTGCTCGAGTCTCATAAGCTGTTGGCAGTAGAGATTGGAATCGATAGTTTTGCCTGGCGGTAAAAGCTCATAATGAACTATACCCTTCCAATCCCACCAGACACAAAGCATTACCTTATTGCGAGTTAATCCGGGTTTTGCTACGGTCTGTGGAGCTTGACCAACCTTTGACCATGATCTTTTTCGCACGTTCTTGTCATAGGTAATCCACTTTTCATCACCAGTGATCAATCTTTTTAGGAACGGCTCTATTTCATTACGCTTTAGTAGAGAATCGCAAATGTGTATTCGATTTATTAGGTTTCTTTCAGTCAGTTCGTGCGGTACCCAAACATCGAGCTTTTTTGTATACCCAGACTTTTTCAAATGGGCTAAAACCGTTTTATGGTCAACATTTAGCTCTTCAGCAAGGTTGTAACTACTAATATGTCGATCTTGCTCCACTTTTTCAAAAATGGCATCAACTTTATCCGTGACAGGGCGGCCAGAACGAGCTTCATCTTTGACATCAAAGTTCCCGGACTGAAAACGCTTGAACCAATTTTGTGCTACTCTTACTGACACTGCGTTAAGTCCATAAACGTCACAAATTTTTTTCGCGGCTTGTGTCGCATTTTTCCCTTTCATGAAATAAAACTTCAGAATCATTGACTTCAGAATGTATCGAATTTTTTCTTTAAATTCACTCATCATGGCAGGCAGAAAAACAAAAGAAAAATGGCGGGATTCGGGTTTTATTTTTTTAATTTTATTTTTTTATATGTAATCCTTCTGATGGTATCAAAAACAGCCAAATACATACTGTGCAGCCAAAGAGATTTTAATACAACTTTACACCAATGAAATACGAAAGAACTTTTTCCCCAACCTATTATGTTGGCGGCATGATTATACAGAGCTTTCACAACACGGATCTACGTTTGGATAAGTACGTGCCTGGAAGTTGTTTATTGTATCGATGGTTTTCTAAAATAGTGGCCTATCACAAAAGCACGGAATTTATCAGGAACATAGTTTACAAAAACTGAGACGTGTCTACCGCGCAAAATTGACATATAGTAGACCACCGCAACGTTGTCATGTGATTATTTTAACAAATGAAAAGCTTGGTGTCCCATTCATAATAAAATTTAGTATTTTCTGAATTAATCTCAGTAATAAGTCAAAAAAGGAACTATTTTGGGTTAGGCCACTACTCTTGAAAAGCAGCGATATGTAAATATTTCGTAATGTTCGAACGATCTCCCTGGTGCTAATAAAAAGGTTACTCCCGGAAGTCTGCGTTTTTAATTTCTTTTGTTTACGAGCCTATAAGATCACAACAAAGACGAGACAACCAATTGGTTTTCTCGTCTTTGGATCATAATTTCATGATTTTTGATAAATTTGGTAAAAATTGTGTCCAAATCTTTGTTCAGATATTATGTGTCAGTGTCAAGCTAATTTCGTGTGTTAGAATTTTGCCTAAAATTCTACGGTGTTAGTAAAAATCACACAGACTAAGGAATGTTTCAGTCAATCACACAATGGGCAAAATGGACAAACTCTGTCGTAATCTGATGGTCCAGACTCGCGTGCGAATGAACTTTACAGATACTTGTATGGTGCCACGATCGTATCGTGATCGCTCTAGTTGGCCTAAAGAAAACAAAATATTTTAGGACATATCACAGGGGTGAAAACACGTGTCAAATGGGGTGATATTCTTCTAATAAAAACTTTTGATGATACAATTTCTCGATTTTAACCACTAATTTTAGTGAATTGTCGACTAAAACATCTTTTAAAGACTTACCGTATAAAAAAGTGGCGTTTCTGCTTTCCAACGTTGTAACATTACTACTTTCCGTAAACTCTTGAGCGTTTCTTCTAACTCTACCTTTGTCACCTTCATCGTCTCTGGCGGTCACATTTTGAGCGTCTTCAGTAGAATTACTTACTGCTTTTGTATTAAAATCTGTAGTTTTATCATCTGTAGAGTATTTATTGTCATTTAAATTTATATTTCCTATGTTATCTTCGTTTTTTGTACTTGCGTTGGTTATACTTTTTATTGTATCATTCCCCGTCACGTCAGTCAAATTTAGTTGATCAGTTGTTTCAACATCAGTATAATTTGTACGTTGAACCCAATGAAACTCTAGCTTGCGGGGATAGAATACGCAGTTATCGTCGACCAAATCTTTGGTGTTTTGTAGAAATGTGTAGTTCATTATGCCCAATGTGGCAGCTAAGAAGTAAATTATTGCGTGCCATGCTGAAAGGAAAACAATTGGTTTGTTGAGTTGTTGCATTATCAGTTCACATTAAAGTGACAACTAGTAACATGTTTTATGGGCATTTACACCTTGTCAGGCTGCCACCGCTTGCCCTCTGAAAGCGCCAAGCTGCCCGGTACATTCGGGTAAATACTGACTCCACTGAGTCAACTAGGTGTTAGTATGTACGACCAAGCTACTGTTCAAAAGCAACTGAGGGAAAAATATACTTAGTTACTCCTTAATCTATTTAGAATCAACAAACTACAATGGGTAACGCACTAAACGGCAAATGTTATTAATTTGCACAAAATATATTTACATGTTTTTGATAAACGTAATTTTAAGACACCCTTTGGTCATATACAATAAACTATTGCGCTAAATTCGATATATTCTTTTATAATGTACTTTGGGTGATTATGTGATCATAGGAATAATATTGTGTGGGTCAAAATTACTTAACTGTACATTTCGATGTACATGTGACCTTCGAAGGTTAAAAGTAATTATCAAAGCAACTAGGTATTAAGACGAATCCGATTTATCAACTATCTATGAATACCCCATTTGCAACTCCTACATTTCTATCCTAAAGTTGCCTGGAAGAAATCCCTACTTAGAAATAGGGCTGCCTGTTGTAGATAAAATTCGCTTATTCTGTATAGTCATTGTAATGTTTAGAATGCAAAAATGAATATATACGATAAGCGACCACCACTGTATATATGTATATATACCTATATATACAGTGGTAAATTTGAGACGGGGCAGCAACGGCCAGCTACCTTAATCGTTGTAGTTACAGGAAAACGGTTCTAGAAGACTATCCATGAATTTTAGAGATATTTTGATTGGCATTCACAGATTTTGAAAAAATGGTACAGTCAGCCAGATAAAAGGCAAATTTTACAAAACTTTTTTTTATGCCATTCGATCCCGTCACTGGTAAGGATCAATAGACTCTATGACACCAACTGAGGTAAGAGTACTCGAAATGGCAGAAATTGCAAAAAATCTTTTACCACACCAATTCAAATGAAAAGTTTTTGTTAGAAACGAAACTATATATATATATATATATATATATATATATATACAATGGCGGCATTGTATATGCAAACCTTATACTACTACTTGAGTAAAATTGGATACTGAATGAAATTCCACTCTTGATTAAACATTTGAACCAGTATTAGGTATATATCTGCATTAAAAGTTTAAATATAACCGTGGATTATAAAGGGAAATCAGTCATAAAAAGTAGGACGATAAAAAAATATATCCTAACGAACTGTTCATGAAACAAATAATATGTATGTACATATGAGTATAATATGTATATGATTAGAACCAGTCTCTTGAATAAACGTATACCTATAGGTATACCGGAGTTAAATATACACTTCTGGACACATCTATTGGCCCACCTTGTATTTTCAGTTTCGTTTGGTCCTAGCTAAAATTTTATATTTGGTCGAGCAAAAAGTTTTTATGCTGTTTTGAACCTGGCACATTCACAATTTCATTCAATAGTCTTTTTTTGAATTTCGAACACAGAATTTAAAGAAACAAAAGACAATTTGGAGCCTGTTTGTTGATATCAAACAATCGAATACTAAGAAAACTTGGTTTTATTGGTTTACTTGGATTTAATTCTTGAAAAAGTGATTGATATCTTTGGTTTTGCAACAAACATTACTTATTCTTAACATTAAGGTGAGGTTCTATCAATAATCTATGGATACTTCACCTGAAGTCGCCGCCCAAGCTGTGGCACTTATTCAGGCCGGACACAGCCAAAGAAACGTGAGTGCTCAACTTAATTTAAGTCGATCTGCGGTCCGAAATGTTTATCGGAGGTACCTAGAGACTGGCGGCTTTGTTCGTCGCCAAGGAAGGCCACGATCTCGGGTCACAACTGAAAGGCAGGATCGATTCATCGTGACGACCAGCTTGAGAAATCGTCACCTTACCTCCATTGAGATACAAAACCAACTTCGCGACTTCCACGGAGTATCTGTGAGCGCTCGAACTGTTCGGAGAAGGTTAAAAGAACGCGATATGGTACCACACAAGCCAGCTAATGGGCCCAAACTAACGCGAGCCCACCGAACAGCGCGCCTTCATTTCGCACGCAGTCATTTAAATTGGACACAGCAAGATTGGAGCCGTGTACTCTTTTCTGATGGGTCTAAAATTGTGTTACATGGCAATGATGGAAGGAAGAAGGTCTACCGACGTAAGGGAGAGCGTTTCGCACAATGCTGCTTTGAAGAGAGGGTTGCTTATGGCGGTGGCTCATGGACTGTCTGGGGCGGTATATCCGCGAGCGGCAAAACTCAACTTGAGGTTGTTACAGGACCACGGCTGCCAACATTAAATGCTGAAAGGTACATTCGTGAGTGCTTAGAACCTCACGTGATACCATACGCGGACTATGTGGGCCCAAATTTCCTTTTTATGCATGATTGATAATGCAAGAGCCCATGCGGCCGGCATCGTCTGGGAATATCTTCGGGATGTGAACATCACAGTTATGGACTGGCCAGCCAGAAGCCCAGGTATGAACCCCATTGAGCACATGTGGGACGAGCTAAAAAGACGTGTTAGGGCTCGTCAGCCAGTTGCCCAGACGATGCAGGAGTTGAAAACTGCCATAGAAGAGGAATGGGAGATGATCCCTCAAAATTTCATAGAGCGGTTGATAAACTCTATGCCTAATCGTATGAGAGCTGTGGTAGATGCCCATGGAGGCAACACGCGTTATTAAATTAAACCTTTATTTGATAAAACATGTTTTTATTCAAAAATCAATTGCCTTTAACAAGGCGCATATCCGATTTGTTAGGCGTAGCTCCATGTCGTATGGTATTCTGAATTCAAATTTAAAACAATACGATCGAAAAAGATGGTAAAATGTATCAGGTTTAAAACTGCATCAACAGTTTTTGTTCAATCTAGCAATCATATTTCGGTAGGGGCCATCGAAACCTAAACTCTAAGGTGGGCCAATAGATGTGTCCAGAAGTGTACATTGTATTGAAGTATTATTGGTGCAGACGAATTTTTTTAATTTAAATTTGCGAATGTTTGTGTTGTAGTTGTATTTGAGTCTAACGTACAACTAGATAAGAGAGTCAAAATATCAGGTCACGCGTCTTCCAGAGAATTCTTGCGCCTTCTCGGGAATCTCTAATATACTTATTTATTTACTACATTGCTTGACAAAGGTTGATTAATATTTTTATAGATATTATTTATAGAAATGGTACAATGTTTGTAGATTTCTTCGTCACGCCTACTGTAGCTTCAGATGTTATTCCACTATCACGAAGTGTGTGGTCGAAGTAGGTACTAATTATAGTACTCATTTAAACATATCCTTCAAATGCAGACACTTGAGAAAATTGACTCTACAATTTTATTTATAATAAATTAAACATCGACAAATCTTTACCCATTGGTTAAAAAATAATGTATTCTCCTATTATATGTACTATATAAAGCTACGTATCCTGATTCACTTAGAAAAATAGAACCCATACTTCCCGATATAGTGGAAAAAAGATATTTATACCGTTGTACGCGGATAGGCTCCAAGGCGAAAATCAAATATGAGAAGATCTGATTGTGGAAAATATGAAAGAGTGATCAAGTGCCTGCAAAAACTATAATAATGGAGGAGATATTTGTGCGCTTTTATGAGGTACGCCCTGGCCAATTTTCACCGTATAAAAAAAAAATCGAAATTCAAAGAAACAACGCCGTCATACAAATTTTAAAGTCTTCCATCACGGAAACTATTAAAGAGGTAGGAGGTGCTCGAAGGAATGTCATAGAGAGTAACTGGTCAACTGCCTGTGTCAAAATTAATTCAAGATGGCGAACTCAAAAGGCGGTCTAAGAAAAACTTGCTTCGATCAGGCTGAAAATGTGCATGCGGGAAGTCTTTAAAAATCCTTAATCATAATTTGGGGTCAAAAGTTTTTTTTCGCCATTTTTTAATATGGCTACCACACAAGCTTTTTTTTCGTTAAAAATAGCTGCGGAAATAGACTTAGCAGAAATAGGTTTTTCGCCATTTTCAAATATGGCCGCAATACAAGCGTTCGTTGGCGGTAGAAAAAAAATTGCTCTGATCCCTTTGAAAATTGCCATGTGAGGGTCTTTAGGAATGCCTGATAATAATTTGTAACCAACTTTAGTTTTTCGCCATTTTTCAATATGGCTACCATTCAAGAGTTTTTTGGCGGCAGATAAAACTTTGCTCTAATTCGACTGAAAATCGGCATGTGGGTGTTTGATAATAATTTACGATCCAAACTTATTTTACGCCATTTTTCAAAATGGCTTCCATGCAAACTTTTTGGCGGCAGATAAAAATTTGCATGGAAGGCATTTTGAATTGAATTTTTAATTCGACTGAAAATTGGATTATCGAGGTTCCTATAGGTGTTTAATAATAATTTGCGTGCATTTTTCAATATGGTTGCTATACAAACTTTTTTGACGGTTGATAAAAATTTGCTCTTTGGCATGTGGGGTTTTCTATGGGTGTTTCATAATAATTTGCAGTCAAAATCTACTTTTTGCCATTTTTCAATATAGCCGCCATTAAAGAGCTATGTTAATTTTTGCCCGAAGCGTCCGCACGTCACCGTACGTAGGTAATATACGGAGGCTCTATTACGAGTACACGATATCACAATTGTTCAAAATGTAAGGCATACTTTCCGATGTAGTGAAAATGAGATACTTATAACGTTTTTGTATCGCGACAGTCTCTCTGTTAGATTCTTTTTTCTTGGAAGCTATGCCAAAGAGACGTATTTAGGGAAGAAATGCCAGACAATCGCTCCAAATTTCTGGTCTCAAACTAGGAAATTTCCTATATTATAAGAACCAGACTAACGATAACACTGAGGGCAATATCCAGAATACCTTGACCAGAACCAACTTAAAAATGTTTGTTTCACAATCGGGAAATCAATCATCAATCGGGAATCGAATCTGGAACCTCCTCATCAAGCGCCCATAGTATTAATCGCTGTGCCACTGAAGAGCATAAGCGCACCTCGTAATCTGAACCCGACTGCGCGCCTCAGGCCGAGCCCGACCCCACCGCAGGTGGGGTACAGGGCTCGTGTACAATCACTTATACTCAATTTATATTGCGGCGGAAATGAATGGAAGCGATTTTTTGTAACGTTATTGTGTATAGCGTAATGAACTTTATGGTCAATTGTATAATGTACAAACTAGATGCGAGCCGAAAATCACATCATGCGTCTTTCGCCGAATTCTCGCGCATGCTCGGGAATGCTCGCGCTTTTGCGAGATTTTTCAAGTGCAAAATGGCGCGAAGGTAGGCGCAGTGTGACCATGCCAGTGACCGAGCGCGCCTTTTTGACGGCGAAATTGACATTCCGTTCCGCCGCAATGTAAAATGAGCCTTAGCCGTCGAAGTATCGCAATTTAAGAATGAAATTATTTTAAGTTTAATGATTGTAAAGACACCTTATTATGCTGTTTGTGAAGAATAATTTTTCGTATTTTAAAAATTATTTACTTATAATTTTTTACCTAATTGAGGACACATATAAGGATACTCAAGATCGAAAAGGTTTTAACAAATGCATTAGGTCATAGTACAAAGTCACAACCAAGAATTGTAACAAACCTTATGTTCGTAAATGCCTGTGCCACAGTTTTGCAAATTACCTTGTGGGAACGAGGAAAATTTAACAATACTTGGCCAAGAATTGTCAACAACTTGATCATGTAGATTATACATGGATAACAAGCATCCTAATTGTAATTTTACAAGTAGTTAGTCAATTTTGCATACCTAGCAATGCTTGTACATAAGTAAGTAGGCACAATCTTTTACTAAGTATTTGTAAAAGACTTCTGCGTAATTGACGTGGTTTTTAGTATTTTCACATCGATGTCCTATACTAACAATTTGACTAAAACTTATATTAGAAACGTGCCTATCCGTGCGCCTGACCTATTCATTGAAGGTGTTTGCTCTGAATGATTTTAATAGGCATCTAACAAGTGCTAATTTAATTTGAAACTAAGTTATGCACGAGGAGTTCAGTAAAATTGGCTATTAAGACTGTTATCGCTATGACATTGAAAACGCTTCAGGGGGTTATCAGGAAATTCTATAGCCTACAAAATTCATAAGGCGAATGAGCATTGAAACCAAGGTAACAATACTAAATACCTACGCAATGTGCAATAATAATGTACTTTTATGGTCTTGAATTTTTATTTCCCTGGAAGCCCTTGCAGTTGACGTTAGTGCTGACTATTTGAATTAATGTAGTAATTATTTGTGCTGCGAAATGTACATTTCGTGTGCTGTTCCACTGCAGGGTAAACCATACGGATACTGATCATAATATTACTAACGTTCCTGACATTGGTCGTTGTTGTGTCGTCTTTCGTTTTAAGTAAGTAACAATTTATCTAAAGTAAAAGTTTTATTATTTAGGGTTGCATTTTCTGATTATGAAGAAATTAATATTCCATTGACTCCGTAACGTGAACCAAAACATAATAACAGGAAAAATACAGAAACTGTCTATTTTTTTAATAATTCTCGAACAGTTTGCTGTAGGTACAGTCAATTAAAAATCTGTTCCAAAATTATACTTATAGGTGAAGAAAATTTGGAATATAGACTGAGTCACGAGGTTCTCGTATTAGTTGTTTTTTGTTTTGGTGGTTCACTGTACAAATTCCTCACGATCCGTAGCCTGCTCCTTGACCTTTTTAGAACTCCTCACTTTCAAAATATCGTTATTTGTTCACTGTACCGACGCTATTATTCCTCTTCGATTCTGTATTTTCCTTTCTATCTTCCCTTCTTATAGCTTTCAACGAACGAAATAAAAAAATCAAAATGAAAATCAACATATTTTTATTGCGTTGTGGCTACTTATACACAATTATATTATTATGATCCAAGCAAGTATTAGTAATAAAATAAACTACTAAAAATAGTGAAAGAGTTCAATATTTGAATTTTAAATGAAAACACTAGCTTTGAGTTTTAAAAATAAACGGAGCGACTATGAAGTCGACAGAAATGAATATAATTAATGTAAACAAGTGTATATAGGTATTTAAACGTTTTAGTAAAACCAACTTTACTGAAAACAAATTTAAAATCTGTTTCTTTTTAATCTAAGGCAGTCGAATTTTAAAAATTACTCATGTATCATAAAAATAAAATACAACAGTTCTTATTTGGCTTTTTTTTTATAATTGTTTACTATATGTATAGAACTTTTTTTTTAAAGCTTTTTGTAACCGGCTCAATGCGATTCTTATATCCGATAGATGTGGTGACTCCAAAGACTTGCACATAGGTATCGTCGGATATGACACATAGGTAGATAAATGTACACGTGAAGATAAGAGTTGCTGGAGGAATAATTAAAAATACTGATAAAGTAAAATATGCAATAGTAAATAATGTCTCAACTGACGTCATATCTGGTGGTTTTATTTTTTCTTAAATTTGAAGTAAGACCGATATAACATTAGAATAAGTGGCAAAGGTAAATTTGACAAACTTCTGTCCCATTTTTTTCATCCGATACAATAAAGTCATCCTTATAAAAAACTGAGCCTATTAGCATTACAAAAAAGTTGGTCATTTTTTTCATTTTGTGTGAAAAAATATTTTATGAAATTTTACCAACTTCTGCTGTTCCGATTTTTTCGTCCCGTACAATGAAATGATCCCTTTAATCAGCAGTAAAAACTTTTTTGTCAATTTTATTCATTTTTATGGGCAACTGACTCTTGACCAAAAAATTTACTACGCCAAAATTGTTTTCATACAAAAAGAGTTAATGGTTTCTAAGACAGTTTCCTTGTATCTTCTATGGTTTCGGATTTCCTCATACTGTTCCATTAAAAAAAAACACTGTATAATACAGCTGGTGCCAGCAAGTTCGTCTGCGTAGAACGAGTATTTCGAGTAGCCTACTGTATTGTACTAATTTTCATACTTTTATTGGTTCTCCATATAAACTTACATACTCTATTTCACCGCCTTTAACATTTATTTTTGTGACAAAAAGTAGCCTAGTTCTCTTAGGTCCCATCTATTTATATACCAAAATTCATTAATTTATTTATTGCAATTCACATGTTGGTAGGTACCTATCTTTAATTGTTCTATGTACTAGATACATCAAAATAATGAAACCGTGGAGTGTGCAGCAGAGTCTGAAGGCAGAGATAGATCGAAGTTTTAATCTAATATCATCAATGTTGGTTCAGCGGTTTTAAATAGGCGTAAAAATGTGACAGACAGAGTTACTTTCGCATTTATGATATTAGTTTTGATGTTGTATATGAACGTGATGTTACCAATGACCATATAATCCTTGGTTTTTTTTTCATGGCGCCTTACTAGGGGAACCCTGTATCACAGGTGACATGGACTTACGACTTGGACTTGTAGTGATGCCCATCTAAATAGTTTAGGTATAAAAACTTAGTTTATCGAAGTTTTGTGGTGTTATTTCCGGCGTTGGGGTCAGCGATGTTATCTGTTTGTAAAAGATGATATATACCAAAAAATGTTACCTTTCCATAGCCTTAGGTGCTTGGAGGTCCGTTCTTCAAGCTCGCAATAATCGTAGAGTAAAACGGTCATTTTCATATTTTACTTGTTTCCATCCTGAAAAGAGTCAAGGCGATATCTTAATTTGTCTACTAGTATAGATTGGTCTAGACTAGATAGATATTACTTTTTAATTACTAGTTTAAGCTTCACGCAGTGTCCAATGGAGCAGTAAAATAACGGGACCTAATTAATTAATGTCATATTTCTCTATATTTTCCCTTGGGAGCTAATAATTTTGCTGCAGTGACATAAAATGAGGCTCAGCCAACCGTGTTGCGGGCTTTAATATAAAGTAGAACGGTCAAATATAGAAGTATTTTAAAATGGTTCTTAATAAACAAATTAAACTTTCATATCATTATTATTATTTTCATTTGCGGTTGCCTTTACATGATACGGTAGCGACCGTGTGAAATATTTAAATATGGCAAATTTTAGTCGTTTTGTTGTTACCGCTAGGAGCGCTATAATATATTACGAAATATTTTGTTTTAATCCGAAATGAATTTTTATGTCTTTTTTCCGACTGAATTTCCGTCCAACTACAAAAAAGATTTAGAACGGTGATATTATCCACATTACGAGGTAGGTATATATTTGTATGTATAATTTAAGAGTACAGAATACCAAACAATGTATTTAGTAATATTTATTGTAGAAGATACAATACTAAATGAATCGTTGTGTTGTTTATGAGCGTATTCGACGGATAACCAAAGTCGGGGACGTTGTAGACAAAAATGAGACGATGAAATGAAAATGGACAGGACACATAGCTATGTAGAATGGACCCAGACAAGTGGACAAGGAGGATCGAGTGGCGACCTTGGGCCAACACGCGCGGCAGAGGTCGTGCGCCACTTCGTTGGGTGGATGACATTAAAATTTTCGCGGGTCACAACTGGATGCATATTATATTATATATATATATTATTATAAAAAATCTTTATTAAACTGTCTACAAATGTTGTCTTAAACTAAGTTCTGCAAGACTGTTTTCACAGTTTGTCTACAGGATAGTCTCTATAATAACATTATAACTATTGATATGTAGGTATATATGGACTATTATGAATTATTGCAACTATTCTATATATTTCATGGAAGTGTTTCTAACAAATATTTTTTAAGAAGCTTTTTGAATTTATTTTTGTCATGTACCATGCGAATGTTATCAGGTAAATTATTAAACAAATAAGGTAATCTTTTATTTAATGTCCTGTCTCCATAGTAGTTAGTCACTCGAGGTACTTCGTATTTACCGGAGGTCACCGTCCTGGTACTATGACTATGATTGACCAGTACTAAGCCATGCTCCAGATTGCCATGGTTATTTATTGCGAGTAAGTATTTATGCTTTAAGTGAACAGGAAGTATCTTTAGAATTTTAAACAGTTTATAATAATTTCCATCACAACTTTGCTTTGTTTTATTGTTTACAAGTAATTTTAAAAATCTAATTTGCAATGTTTCTAATTTAGCAATATAAGTTTTAAAAGTTAGGCCATAGGAATCGAGAGCATAGCTCAATACTGAGTCTACTAACGCGATGTACAGTTGTTTGAGAATACTCTGTGGAGTTCTATAACTTAAGTGATAGAATTTACCAAGGAGAACTCTCAATTTACTGCACAGAAAACTAATGTGTTCATTCCAAGAGAAACTTATATCAACTTTTACACCGAGATATGTAACGAAATTTACTTTTTCAATGGGCTGACATTCGCAATTAGTTAAGTTATTGTGCAAACATGAATAGGTGTGTGTGAACAAAGATGGATGCGTTTGAGTATTACAAATGTATGGAGACTGTATTATCAAAAGTTTTGTCTTATCAGAGTTTAACGTAATGCCATTATCATGGGACCATTTCACAACTGCATCTATGTCTTGTTGTACTAGGCAACACGTCTCAGCGAGGTCAGTACCGGGTCTTAGAGTACATAGGTCATCCGCAAACATGTGCGCAGTGCTGTTTCTAAGCACCCCACACAAACTGTTAGCGTGCATAAGATAGCATACAGGACCGCACAACGAGCCTTGAGGGACTCCGCGTCGGACCCTCACCGCGTCGCTGAGAGCGTCACCTAGCTTAACTTGATAGGTACGTGATGTGAGATAGTCGCGGAACCAAGGATTCAGCGGCTGCCCCACTCCACACTCGTCCATTGCATGTGAAACGGCAGTGACGTAAATGAAGAGGTATCGAGGAGGCCTATATCCGAAGACGGATTGGTAGAGGCTGCTTGATAATGATGATGATGATTGTCTATGTATTACGTAGATTTAGTGCATACCTACATATACCTATGCTAATATTTAGGTCTATTTATCATGGTTGCCGAAATTGATTCATTATGGTTTGAATAGTCTCGAGGCCATCCAGTTGGAGATCGGAGAGTTGTTATTAATATAGTTAATAGGTGGATTTTTTCTGAGTGTTCAAAAATAGACTTCATTCGAATAACTGTAAAGTGCACTATCATTTAAGATTATAAAATAAGCTCATTATGTTACCTACTCGTTTTATGAGTGGCCTAAAAATTGTACAAAACTGTAATTTATTATAAATAAATAGAAAAATAAAATATTTCTTGTTTCGGACATCATCCATAGTAATTATTAGTAGTCAGTTGTAGCAATTTGTTTTAAAATTAGGTTAGCAAGTAATTTATTTAGAAGCAATAAGGAGGGCACAATATAATCACTCGGAAACCATTACTTCCAGGTTTGAATATATACCCCAATGTGTACTTCCATCCAACATAAGCGATATATAAAGTAAAAATATGCCCATGGTCCACCCAGGTGGACATGGGTGACGGAAAAAAATAATTGCCCGTGGTCCACTGAGGTGAACCAAACAGGTGAGCCATAAAAGCGAAAATAAACGTGTCATTGACATACAATGCAAAGTTTTGCGTATATGTACAATGTTTGCCTCGATAATCATCAGCTACTAAATATTGTTTGAGATCTTCCGAAAATGACATCACCGTGAGATCATTTATAGAAGCCGCGACTATGTATTTTTTACGCAACAAATATTATGTGAGACTAAAGTTTATCGCTTAACGGGGTTCCTGAGTGGGAACATTTTCATACATTTTCGGTTTGATTAATTATAATTTTCTTATTGAAGGTGACAACTTGATTTGCTTTTCTTTGGATTCCATGTGGAAATCTGTATCAGCTTATAGGTACAATTGATTTGTATGGACATAATATATGTGTTTATTTCCAAAAGACGTAAAAGAAAAGTTGTGTTTTTTTATTAAATAATAAGGACTCGTAATCTTGGTAAAGCAACATGTGATCATACGTCAAAAGTGGTTTTATCACATGGAAGTCATAAAAATTATACGAACAATATGAAACAAATGTGTCCTCGTACGTGCATTTTGCACCACTCCTATTTAAACATGAAAAATCATCGCATTAGTCGATAATTTTTCTTAAGACAAATTTTTCAATGGCCTTATTCCACGATGAGTGCTATTCAGTGAACAACAATCAAAGTCAATATTTAGTGATCATTGATGAAATATAAATTTGATTAAATTGTTTTTCTAGATTTATCTAAGACTAAGTTTGATTAAACATCTTTCTTCCTATATATCTTATGTTCTCCCTGTTTATTGTATTTACATAATAGTTATTATGTAAGTACACTAAACAGGGAGAACGATTAAAAATGTAAAAAAAAGATTACCATCGTAAAAATTAATGGAAAATATAAAATAAAATTCTATTTAACTTTATTATTTATTTAATTAGATACATGCTACACCAAGGCTGTGAAGTCCTGTTTATACATATAATGTATGTATGTAGATGTCGCCATAAAATTGCGTAAATCGTATTTTCACGAAGATTACGTAATCCCCACTTGCACCAAAGGCTCTAACAATACGTTACATATAATTCACAGCATGCTCGCCGATATTTACCAAATAAAGCAAACACGAATTACGCTTAATGAGATGCTATAATGTAAAGAAGCACATTTGTTTTGTACATAAATAATGATATTTAGAATAAAAAAATGCCTTTATTTTCCATATTTACAGTTTAGACCATATTTCTACAGGAAAATTGCAATAATCAGTATTTTCAGTATTACGTGATATTTAATTTAATGATAATAAATGAATGTGCTTGAAAAAAATAATGGTCTTAATGCACTAAAAAAAATAACAGTCTACTGTGCGGAAGATTAGAAGACAACCTAGACGTGACCTACTCAATTGCGAACTTGTGCAAGTTTAAGTTTGCTTCAGACCAATCCTGTGACGTCGAAAGGTCTTTTAGCCAATACAAAGCGTTGTTCCGATCAAACAGACAGATTTTTAATTTTGAAAATATAAAAGGCATGTAATTGTGTATTGTAACAATAACAGTAACGAAAATTAGATTGAAGTGGAATAAAATTTGTTGCTTTTGTTATAATAAAGCGTAGTCTATGTGAAAACAGTTGTTTTTTTATCTCCATATTTTTTCCATATTGTGAGACTTTTTGCTCATATTATACATATTATACGTACATATTTTGTAGTTTATATACTGCGTATTTATTCCAGCCCTATAGTCATAAGTAACCCAACTTGATCACGACCCAATAGGAGAAATAAAAAGACCTATTATTATAATTCGGACATTTAAATCTTCTATGAATTCTAATTTACTTTTTAGGGATTCTTATCAGGAACAACGTGTAGGACAACCCAGTTTTTTATATGATAAACAACACAATTTGATGCGTTAGATCGGCCACAATTAGCTTGGCTAGTAGCCAACGATCATGCGTGGGAGTTGCTCCAATTTTCACATGGACCTGTCAATATTTGCATACGTGTATTGCTAATTCCTTTGTCACGTCAAAACTTTAACTGTCAGAACTGTGCAATATGCATGACAAATACAAAGAAAGTATAAAGATTGTAATTTTATTAAATTAAACTAGAGCAATTTATCTACTACGAACATAACTGCATTATTTGTTAGTGGTGAAATTTGTTTTCTTTTTTGTGATATGAACAGTCAGTTTGTTTGTTTAACAGTCACTTCCATAATATGTTTTCGCAATGTTTTATAAATGAAATTATTTTTCAGATCTACATTGCGTACATTTCTTTGTTTGTTGTAGGACTGGGCCACAATCAAATTTTTAACCGACTTCAAAAAAAAAAAGGATGAGGTTGTCAATTAGACTGTATTTTTTATTGTATGTTACGCGATAACATCTGTGAACCGATTTTGGTGATTCTCTTTTTGTTGGAAAGAGGGAAATTTCCACCTCTAAGGGTGGCAAACTAGGGGATGAATACAGTTTCGCGCACGTTCCACGGTAACCGATTTCAATAAAACTTGGCGAATAGATGTAATTGTAAGAACTTTTGAGGTCGGTTTTTTTGTACCTACTCTGTACTGAGATTATAAATCATCTCTTGTGAGTCGATAGAGTGTCAAAGGTTTGTACGTTTGGTATTCTTGTTTTGCTAAAAGTGGCTTGTCAGTGCCTACCCATCGAGCTGATATTAAATTGCTCTAAAACCGCACCTTGTCTCAAATAAAAGAATCCTCTTAGAGCATCAGAGCAACGAAGTAATATGAGCATTACTTCGTTCCGGTTTTGAAGGGTGACTCAAGACAAGCTGGTGAAATTACAGTCACATGGGACAAGTCCCATGTGACTGACATGTTGACAAGTCAACTAATGTCTCAGGGTAATGGGCGCAGAGGCAGTGCACCTCAGATCTTTGCGATTTAAAACTCCTCTGAGTGGCACTGCAACTGGAGAACAGGCGTGTCGTTTACCATCAGGCACACGACTTGTTCGTTCCACCACCAGAGAACAAAAAAGTAACAAGAATGGACACTCTCCGCCCCTCCCTAGCTTTGGACACCGCACCACGCCCCGCACATTGACGGTCTACATTGACTGAATGACAACAAGGCTGTCGGCGAGACGTTACACGCTGAGACGGCTTTGACGGGCTTCATTACGAATCTTGTACGTTAATATATGTATAACATCATTGTGCGTTACTATTTATAATGGTCGTGAATTATGATCTATACGGCTGTTTATCGTAATCTAAACAGGATAAAGAGAGGAGTTTCTTTAGTTTTCTGAAAGATGAAACGAAGTAAGTAAAAAGCTTATGCCTGAGACTCATTCAGTTATTGTTTTCTTCATTAATTTAGTGCAGAGTACTATATAATACAGATTATATTAGGTACAGTTTAGGTACTTATATCAAAATAATGAGACGCCGTAAGTTCATAAACTACGAGTAGTGGACAAGGGTTCTCAAATTTTCAATTTGTATTGCCGATAAATATTATGTAGTGAATATAATTATTAACTAGCCAATGATAAAGTTGGACAAGCAATTACCTTGGTTATCTTATGTACCTGTCCCTGTCCGAAATATAATATTTATTCAAAATAAATCTTCAACATAGTTAGTGAATTAATGAAAAATATAATATTATATCGATATAAATACCTAATGAACATGTATAATTATTAGGACTCTATTAATAGAATTATACACATTCGCGTGTGTGCCTATAGCGCTTTGCTGTTTGTAGTAATAGTAGGTAAATAACTAAATAACTTTCGACCGTTGTACGGAGTGTGCGGGGTGTGCCATCACTTAGTAACATAAAAAAGTTCACTCCGGGGCAGCCATAGAAAAATGCGATTCCCACATTGATCCAACCGGCAATCGAATCCAGGATATCTATTAGCGCCCACATTGCTGACCGTTGAGTCACCGCGGCCGTCAATTTTGCCTTATAGATTTTATCCTAGTAGCTATTTGCTTAAGTGTTTCCTTTGACTTTGAAACTTCACGTTTTACGAAGCAATAAAATGAACGACTTCAGCAGTAAACGCAAGTTAATAAGTCTTGGTATAATGCTCATAATCTTGGCTAGAGCTAAAATGACGTAACACTCATTTATATTCGGTTTTTTATAGCCCGCGTGTTTCGATTAATGATGGTGACTAACTACAATGTTTTTTTGGTAATTATTGGTCTATTGTCTGCATTGTCAAGTAAATTGTACACACGTAAATTAGGTTAATTGATTTTACATCAACACTGACAATAATTTCTTATGATAGTTTATGATACATGCAATGTCGTATTTTTTTCCCCTTTATTGTTTAAACTCTAGATTTTTATGGTTAGAGAAAGTTCAAAGAGTAAATGCGCCAATGGAGTGGAGAGAATTTATGAAATACTAGCTGGTGTCCGCGACTACGTCTGTGTTGAATAAATATGTACTGTACTAATTTTCACGATTTTATTGGTTTTCCATAAAAACTTTCATTCCCTATTTCCCTCTTGTCCTAGGTCCCATCTATCTCTATATCACAATTGTTTTGTAATATTTAAGTTGCTCTTGATGTAATGTAAAAATTGCAATTGTAACCCATCTAATAAGTAGTAACATTGGCTTACAGTAGTAAAGATAAATTTAATTTTTTTTTTATTTTCCATCAACTTTCACGAGTATTATCCAAATTTATTTTTATTTTGTATGTATCCCGGTTTAGTACAGTATAATTTTTAACAAGTGCAGTAATATACTTATAGTTAGATCAAATAAAACTTAGTCTTAGATAATTTTCAAAAAACTGTTGAATCCAATTTATATTTGATAGCTTTCACTGTTATTTACGATATAATGGTATGTTTACTTTTAGTCACAATTTAGTTGTACTTAGGTCATGTTTCTTAATAACGTATCTATCTATAACTGAAGGAAGAATTATCTACCCACATGATAATAAAATACTGTAAAAATTTGCACAAAGTAGATCACGAATCGAAAGGTTATTTAAAATTTTATCTTTATCATTTTATGAAGCGTTACTTAACGTTTCGGTTTCATTATTCATTAACTGTGCCACAAAACTAAATATCAAACATTTATTTACATATTATTTCCTGTTAGTAACTTATAATGACTAAATTCCTACCTTTTGTCAAAAATCCGATTCTAATTCAAAAAATCAGCGACAAATGAGGACTACATATTTTCCATATCACATTGTACACATTCATTGATAGTTTATAATAGAAATAAAAAATAAAGATAACAAAGTCGATAAATTGCAGGTTACACGCGGTTACCACGACGCATGTCGGCAACTGACTACGATAGATTGAATTTAGCGTTACGACCTTTTGATTTTGAAGCTTGTAGGAAAACGGTGAAAGAAAACTTTGCGCAGAGTGTTACTGCGCATGAAGCTTTAACAACGCTTTTGACACGTAATAATTTGTCCGTAAATGTTTTTTTTCAATTACTTCATTACAATAAACCTATGAAAATAAACGAGGCGTTCATAATCATTGGTAGATTAATACAACAAACACAAAAAAATGCTCAATACAGTACAGTACAGTACTCAGCAGTAATAATAATCGTCTTATCTGTAGTGCTGATAATGTTGAATATTTTATTCACCACATCACACTCGGCAGTTTATAAAATTGTATTATAAATACGGCTTTGTTGAATTTATCTAAATTATTGTAGAATGACTCCCAAAAATCAGACCCAGTCCCATTAAATGTGGTTAGAAACGAGAAGGCACGAAAACATAACTATAAGCCTCTGGAAGACAGACAAGGACAGAGAATGTAGATAAAGCTCCAGCGATTTTGTTCACGTGATGTAACCGCATGATGTCATGGAAACATCGCCATGTTGGTTTTTTGACCAAGTTAATTGTGCTGACTGTGAATTAAATAACTATTTGACATTTTATACAATGTAACAATCCCCTTTCCACCGCTCCATCCCTGGACTGTAAAAACATAGCAGTTCCGACGGTAATGGTAACTTTGTTTTATATAATAGTTTTCTTTTGGCGGGTATTTTCGTTTTGATCGTATCGCGGTACGGAAATAGATTAACCTATTTTCACGTCTGTTTCTCAAACACTTTGAAATAAGTGGCTTGAATTTATAGGCGTTTGACGACTTATCTAAACTCTACTAAACCGTGAATCCACAATAGAGAAACTTACCTCATTGAGTTAGAGAACATTGTTATTGTATCGTAATAGTTCACTATGTTTATATGGGAATATGCTGAGTTTGGCTGGTGCTCATCCTGGTGGATAATATCGGGAACAAGGATAGCATGGAATGTGATAAAAAATTACCCTACATTTTCATAGTTCTATGAAATTGTACAGAGCAGAGCTAGTTGATGAATGCTTTTGGTTTGATTCACTGTTAGTTGTACCTGAAAAATCAATACTATCTACCTACGATCTGTTTTGAACTATATAGGTATATTCATTATAACCTAACCCCTTTTTTGTTGTATTTATTTCTACGGAAATTTTCGAATAAAACGACGGAGTTATACATTTATATGAGTTATATTCGATATAAAATATAATATTATTTGGACCCAAATTAATGTAGTGGGCTCTATATAGCATAAGGTATTTAGGTTTAAATAAAAATGTACTTATACATATTTATTAAATTTGTTAAGATTTTAGTCGTGCTATAAATATTTACAATTTAAATAAAGCAAAGCTACGGTGATTTTGCGGTGTATAATTATATAATATTAATAAAATGTAGGTTTTTCTTACCATAGGCAGACAAAAAATTCAATACTTATATATAATGCTAAATATTTCAAGCCTATATTTATAATAAATCACAATCCTCGACGTATTCCTTTTGATGTTTTAAATCTCCCAATAGAAACACAAAATAGTTTCATCTTTCACAGCAGTCTCTTCCAAGACTATTGTATCAAAATATCAGCAAAAAACGTATGGTCTAACGCAGATAGGACATCTATCTGTAGCAGCTAAACATCTTCGAAGGCAGTCGGCATGGAAGTAATGAGCACACGGTGTCACTCTAGCAGATTTCATGGTACCAAGGCAAACAGCGCATACGTCTTCAAGTGTCGACAACTCTTCAGGCGTCGCTCGTCGAAACTTTGATAATGAATCTCTTGCTTCGTTGAATTTCATCAAGGCTTCCCCGAACCTATACCGCCCATGTATGTAAACACAGATATAGAACAAAAAAACTGCTAGCCTCCACCTTTCGCACCACGCTAAAGCCGGTACTAAAGGTATTGCGAGACCCAACGTTATGCCTCGAGCCCATAGTCCGCAGTATAAAGGTTCCATGCCTTCAAGTTTCTCTAACTTCATAGCTGACAATGCCAGTGGCCACAATTCGAGGAACGTCTTCTCTGTTAATAAGTAGTAAATACCTGTTATGGCTACGTATAGGAATGTTGGGCGGAAATGCTCCAAGCCTTGTTCTAAGCCCAGTGTTAAAAGTATGAAAGTGATAGTGACGATGAATGTGACAGCTTTGGTCCATTCAAGAACTATCTTTGTAGCGGACATGGCAAGGTGTTTGACTCGGGAATGCCTGGTGACGTTGACATATGGAGACCAGTCTTCTTTAGTGCATATCTCGCGAACGTAGTTGACGGAGTAAGTAATGACGTTGTAGAACATCAGCGAGTAGAGAGACGTCAGTTTGCCTTGAGCGACAAATAATCGGTCGCACGCCGTAAACATCAGCAACTGAAAAGATTTTGATTTGAATTGTAACAATAACATAGGAGAAAGCTGCTATTATATTAAGTGATCAATTATAGAAGCTATGTATTACTTAATAACGTCGGGTCTCCTCGGCCGTACCACATAGTTCGAAAACAAAGGTTTTTCAATATGTGCGTTCTACCCGTTATGATATACTGAGCCTAGACGTGGATGATACGGCTATTCCACCAGTTAAAAGTCGGCCAGGGAGTTATGGAACGAGCTATACTCGTAGTTTCTCTGAAGGAAAAGATTCGAAATGAGATCGTTCGACAGAGAACTAAGGTGCTCGTCATGACTAGTAGAATAAGCAAGCTGAAGTGGCAGTGGACTGGTCATATCTGTCAAAGAACCGATAACCGATGGGGAAACAAGTTCTTAAGCGAAGACCATGGCTCGGCAAACGTGACGTAAGCCTCCCTCTGGCCAGATGGAGTGAGGATTTGCGAAAGTCCGCTGTCAGCAGATGGATTAGATAAACGAAGGACTGCGCGAAGTAGCGCTCATTGGGAGAGGCCTATGTGGCAGTGGCCTGCGATAGGCTGATGATGTGAATCAAAGATTCCAGGCGCAAATAATTTTAAATGGCATTTTTGTCGTTAGCTCCAGTCTAACAAAAATGTACGAAGGAAGAAGCTGTTGACCATCTCCTGGATTGAACTTGTCGCTTCTGCGTGAGTGCACACAATAAAGTTCATATTAAGAGCAACACGGTATTGATGTTGCGACCGCAATGGGGGCTTCGTTTAGACCATCTCGATAACCCAGTGGTTACAACTCCGGGCGCTAGGTGTGACACCGTTTAGAAAACAAATTTTTTGAAATTGGTACTGGTTTGGATTTCCTGTTTCTAAGTTTCGTAACTCTTCCGTTATTTATGATCAGCTAGGTATCACTATCTCGCATAATAAGATCTGCAGTATTGTACATTATGGAAATGTATTTCTGTAACTGGCAAGCCCTCAGTATTGCTGGTTTTTGCTACCACGTCTTGGTAGTTCGAAAATCCATTTTAAGGGTTGGTCTTACTCGTAACGGGGAACAAGACAATCAGCTGTGCAATAATACCTGGCTTATCATGGTTGAGAGGTTGCTCATTTGCAAAAAGAGTTTCTCAGTTCTCTCCAAAGGCGCGAAAGCCGCACGCAGCATAGCCATCACGTTGTATATTGGCGCCTGCAGTCTGTGAACGGCATCTGAGAAGTAGCAATTAAAAAGGTGTAGGTACAATTAGATGAAGTTGTTGATGGTAAGGTGACATTCGGAAAGTGGCTTGTAACTTAGATCCTGTACAATATGGGTGACATTATTTATGGGAACGTCCAATATTGTACAGAAAATGGTTGAAGATAGGTAAGGCAACAAGGTACAATACTAGTTATTGGTTAAGATCTAAATTGGCAAATACATAGGTACAGTCAACAGCACATCAAGCTATTCACCTCCAGTGTAACGGAACAACATACGTCAATGTGTAGCTTGATGTGCTGCCGTCTGTACAATAATGGCACGAAAAAGCTTACATCTCATGTAAAGATTTTAGTTGGTTTTTTACTTCATACCTACTTACTTATTAGCCCACACTTGTCTACCACTAGTACACTAATCGTGTTGATTATTTATTGTTATAGTTTTATTGTGAACCTAATCTAAAACGTATGTACATAGCGAAAATTGGAATGTTTTTTGGAAAATTAAAAATAAGGTATTTTTAATTAGCTAGCAAAATTGGAGTCACAGTGGCGGAGCGGGACGTGGTGAGTGTGGTGCGCGTAGGCCGCGCGCCGGAGTCGGGCGCGGCGGACGCGAGGCCGCGCCCTATAGTGTTGCGTCTGACGCGCTGCGCGGTGCGTGATTGTCTACTGTACGAAGCAAGGGTGCGTCGCGGCGCCACCACTGAGGGCACAGGCTTGCCCGGCCCGCCGCGAAGAGAGCCAACAGTCAGCTCTTCCGCAGAGCCCGTGAGATCGGAACCCGTCTTGGATGGCGGTTTGTGTGGACACGAAACGGTAATGTGTTCGCGCGTCAGCGGCATGACCTTGATGCTCCTCGTCACCGTTTGCGTACGAAGAAGGACCTAGTCAGGGTTTTTGGCGCTGAGGCTGTTGGTGCTGTTAGTGCTGCCCCCAAACGTAAAAACAATGAAACTGTTATAATTATTAATACAAAGATCGAACACTCAGAAAAAACACTCAGAAATAATTCCTTCGATCCGGTCGGATTCGAACCGACGTCTTCTTGCATACCGTGGCAGACGCTATACCAACTAAGCCACGGAACGAACCAACGGACCTCACG